AAATTTGTGGTCGAGTGACGCCAGGGTTATTTGGTGGCTAGGAGCTATCAATCGGGGTGTGTTGTTTGCACCCCACCAACGAGGTTTGTCATAATCGGAGCAGCCTTGTCCGTTTCGATCAGATTTCATGGTCCCCCCTGGACTCACGCTGGGACTAAAAATGAATTCTCCGGCGGCATGGCGAGCCTTTGTCGAGGCAAGGATCGACTCGTATATCCGTTGAGGCCACGCAAAGTGGCAAGTTATTTGTCGCCAACCAAAGAAGACTCCGGTCAACCAGGCGCCCAGCGGTTTGTGTTGTACTCTTATTCGTGTTGCTCAGTTTTCCAGGACAGCCAAGCTGGGGACTAAAACATCACCGATTCCTGGAGCCAAGGCCAGTGAAACACGTGAAGATGAGAGAAGCTGCTGGCTTTATTAGGGCTGATTATTCTTGTCATAGCGGCCCCAATATTCACCACATAAAATGAATTTGACCGCGAAGATGTAGACGTTGTTCACGGGCGGTTGGGCAGTGACTGACTGAACAGCCCAGGGAATAGCAAACGGATCTGATGCATATGACTAAGTATGACGCCTCGCAGCTCAAAGCAAACATGAAGTATGGCCAATGTTTTGCAAACAGACAAAAGGACACAAGACTCTTGTACGAACCCATCAATTTATATTTTGTCAAATGCCACGCACTGGTTGCTATAAGGGCTCCTCTCGATCAACCCTGCATCCCTCCCCAGACACTTGAAAAGAGATATTTCTATCATAAGAGGTATTCATAACCTCTGCAGTAGCCAACTGTCTTGCGGCTGCGAACTTCCCATACTGCGAGTATGAGCTCGCCATGTTCAATCTTTCAGATCCGAAGACAGTAATTGCATCCATATTCTCCCATCATGGCATCTGTACTGCCCGGGCAAGAAATTCGGCGCGTGATAGAAGAGACATGCGGTTGGATCGAGGGGAATGCTGGTGCGCATAGGATACAGGGATTTGAACTGAGGCTAGACAATGTGCTTTGTGCTGATCGTTTGACAGATTACCCGCTCAAATGTCAGCCAAGTCAGAGATGCGCCAGAGATGCTGTCAACAGTATCATTGGGTGTTGTTGGAACCCGACAGGGGGGATTTGTTCTCTTCATACGACATGTCTCGACAAGAGGGCAGCAACAGGGGGCGTCGAAACGAACTCGGCCATGCTTTGGTTTGGACACCCTCTCCGTTTTCGCTTCTTGTCTCGCTTCTTGTCTTATTTCATTCGCAGCTCCATTTATCGACCTGTGATGTGCTAAGTTCTACGCCTTCCAGTGTTGCCTCTGCCGCTCCATATTGTAAGACGGATATCTTCAGTGGTGGCCCCGATATTGACGGGTATTCCTTGTTCATTTGCGATTCAGACACGAAAGCAGACACTATATACCGTTATACTACGGCAAGGTCCCGAGCCGACAATGCCATGACGTTAGATTCCATTACGACCTTCATTCCTTCTTCAACATCTCATCGGCAATCCAAGACGACGATATCAGGTGTTTACACCGGAAGCGGCATTCCTATAACACGCTCAAGTCTATACATTTCCAGTGAGAGGGGGCTATGGTCAACATCCGTAATAACTGCAACCAAAAACCCCTCGACATCTATGACATCTTCAGGCGCATTAACGAAGTCCCCTGCAGCCATGGTTGGAATGGTAATTGGAAGTGCTGGTTTGTATCCCCCCTGCAGGAAGCGCATGCTATCGTAACTGACATGAGTCATTGCGAATGATTCCAGCGGCATTGACTATTTTTGGTGCATTGTCATATGTAGCTTACCGATATGTCAAAAAAAGGAAACCCCGTCGTCTGAGACTACGCCCTGTCGAACAAAAGCGGCGCCCGGGTGACGAGCGCCATGAAGTCGGTGTCCAGGTCTCCAGGTGAGCTTTGCAGCGGTCCCAAAACACAAAGTAGCCGGAAACAGTGCAAGTAGACGTTGTTGTTTCTGCTTTGGGCACATTTGAGGGGATCGCGGAGGCTGGGAAATTTATATCGCTTGCTGAAGTTGACGGCATTCAGACTTTGAGTGGCTTGGTCGAATATGAAAAAACGATGAAGGGATTCAATTTTCAATCGCTATTTACTATACCGTATCTAGAAATTTTCAGGATGAAATTTACGAAGCCATATTGAAATAGGGCTCATCAGATTACTGACATTTCTTTCACAGTACGCACCCAGTGTTGATGTAGTTGAACAAATCTCGCGGGTCAGGGCAACTCGTCCTGGGCTCCTAGATTACATTTGCGCCGATGTTTGCATTGACCACGACCTGCGAGTGCTCCCAGAATTTCTCTTAGCGCTGTATGTTTAGATCGTCTTTATAAATTTTTCCCTATCGCACTGATAGTTCTCGAGTTTAGAGCGATAACAAGTTCGCAATACCGAAACAGGTGGAACATGGCACTGTGAGCTTGGAAATAGCCATTCCTTACATGTTTCTTCTTCTTCTTTTTATTCGACCTTTTTTTTCAGTTGTTCTTTCTAATATGGCATAAGCCAGACGGCGAATCACATCCTCTGCCAACGGGATCCTTTGATTCCATCCCTTGATCTGAGGGGCGGCTCCTGGCTATGAAGAACATGAGAGCGTCGAAAACACAAGCTTATGAATCACAACGGCGCAGTGCCGAGTAGCTTTTATGCATGAGCTGTCTATGGCACCATTCGAAGCACCCCTACACCCGTACTTCCCGGTTTCATCAACTGGTCTTTGTGAAGGCGTAAGCGGCAAAAACCAAAGCGCTGTTACCCCCAGACTGATTCGCAAAGTCTCCATACGTCAACGCCGGTACAATCACGTACTACAGCACCAGGCGAATTGGTAAAGTTGTGAATGGGCTATCATTGAGGAAATACGTAGGCAAGCCTGCCCTGTCCCCGGGATATGGGTACGCAGGCCGCTGAGGGGGAAGGATATATAAATGCACGGCACTGTTATCGCGTAAAAGAAGATTACGCTGGTGCTTGTTTCTCTCCTGAATTGCCACTTTGTCCCGTTGTCATTCCAGCGTTAGCAAGTGGGCAGCAGTCCGCGTCAACAAGCCGCAATTCCCAACACAGGAACCAGTCAATCATTCACTCACAGGTTGAGGAAGAAACGGAGCAACAGCAGTGATTTGAATTTCTATGAAGCCTCCAGAGCTTTCGCAATGAGCACCTTGGCCCTCTCGCTGAGGTCCATGGCCAACGCCAGCTTCTTTCCCTCGTCCGTCATCTTGCCCCAGGTCTTCCTCAGAATGCCAACCATCTTGTCCGCGTCAATCTCCTCCTTGGCTTCAAAGTCGTCAAGCTGGTCGTCGAGAAACACTAGACATGCGACATCCTCGAGGACTTGGGTCTCGCGGTCGGTGGAAAGGCCGTCCTTTCGTACCAGCGCTGCGACTCGCTCGCGCTCCTCGGCTGAGAGGGCGGGCTGGATGGCTGGCGACGAGAGAAGCGCCGAGACGAGAGAGGCAGCTTGGGATTTCTGTTTGGCCCGCCATGTCAGGTAGCCTGGGCGCGTCATGGGGAAGGCGGATCGAGGGAGTTCCCATCTAATTTTTTTGGACGACACAAAGTGTTACTTCTTGGCCGATTTTGGGTGGTTTTATTCATTTTGGTCTGTTTCGTAAAGGGAATAGAGTAAACTCTACGTTTGATTCTTTGGGGCGTTTGGGAACAGGACTGTGAGCTTGATTGGAGACGTACCGTCGGAAGTGCTGCGCCCTGCATGCAAGCTGGAGGGCTGGTGAGGCTTCTGGGCATCGAGACCGGAGCCACCTTGTCATTTTTTGCGCGTAGTGTAGCTCATACGGCACTGTTTCGGGGCCGTTTGGCCCGTCGATCTTGTTTGGGTCTTCGGAATGAGCTTCATCAATGAGTCGCAGTGCCTGCTCATGGGCGGGAGACAGGCTTGGGAGGGCCATCTTCTCGTCGAGAGGACCTCTTAAGAAAGCGGAGGGTCTTTTTGTCTTTAGATGGGGAGGCTGGCTACTACTTCCCACCGGGACTATGCAGAATGACGTATCGCTATGCGAATATGGATGGGCTTGAACGTTACTTTTACGGAAACGCGATTCGGCTCCCATGTGCTCTGTAGTCTGAAGCCTATCACGACATGCTAATCACGGATCAACGCGACAAGGCCGCAGGTCGTTTCTGGATGAGTAAGCTGGTCTTTGTAAATTCCAATTGGACAATTGGACGACGCCACGGCAACTCTGGCAACATTCCATCTTCCGTACCTACTAGTCGGTCTCTCCACGTCTGGAGTCTGTATGCCGGGACATGTGTGGTGTACAATAGACTTGGCAAGTTGACATGAATCACCGACATATACGATATGCATACTCTTGCTGCAAGCGCTCGAGACATGCGTCGCATGGAGTCAGTCTACTGTGAATCCCCGGCCGTCGTATCCCGTACAAGATGCGGCCTCCAACTACAGATTGGGGAGGCGTTGCATTGTTGAATCAAGATCCGAGCATCCAGCGCAGTGACCGCGCGACCAATCAGTGACTCGGTGCCACATGGAAACACAATATGAACCACTTGTCGTCATCTCGTCAAGCAATGCAGATGTTGTGAATGTTGTGCAGAGGCAGCTCTGGTTTCCACGTTTGTGAGCCCTGGACAGCTGGCAACAGACGGGTCGTTTGTGAACTGCCAGGACATTTCTGTTCTCCAAAGCCCTGAATATTGGGCAAGCGACACGACTGACACGACTGACACAAGTGACAGATTATCTGGGTGGATATTACGTCTCTTATTCACTTCCTCTCGTCTTCTTCCGTTTTCTTGACTTCACCAGAAAGTCATCCCTCGGCAATATACCACCCCTTTTTGTCCCGTCCATTCTCATCCTCCTGATTCTTCTCAGCAAGTCAAGGCTGTATAAGTGGTGCGGTAAATATTACGAGCTTTGCTAATCGCATCGGCTCCTGCATCTTGACGCCTCGCTTGTCTCTTTAGCACTCGCTACTCATGGGGGAGGAATCTGACGTTTCCCATCATGTCGCCTCGGGAGATGAAGGGAATAACAAGACGGCTGCCGGTGGAGAGCTGCTTGCATTAGATACTACATCTTCTGCCAAATCAGTAGATGAAGGTGTTGCCGTCTCTTCTGGGGCCGAAAGTGCTGGCACCAGCAACGGAACTACCACCGGCGACTCTGCCAGCACTTGCGAGAAGGATCGCCAGACAATACCTTGCAAAAAGAACTGTCTAAAAAAGGGCAACCAGTGCTTGAAGGTTGCGGCTGAGGTGGCCAGCACCAATTCTTCAGACGTTTCGACGAGCATTATCACTTCTTCCCAGACGAGCAACTCGAACGACACAAAGCCCTCTTGCGAGAAAAACCAGGCAGAGGATAAGAACTCCGGGGTTTCCCGCATGTCGGATGCATCGTCCGAGAGCAATGCCGCTACGGTCGAGACTAGCTCCGGGCCTGGAACATCCCATGAAACAGGTTCTTCTGTCGACGCTGTTGATAGCTCGTCCAGGACTCAGGAGGCAGATTCCAAGGCAAACAGCCATGACGACACCGAGTGCAATGACCAGTCCGAATGGACCCTATCTGAAGACCTCCGGCTCCGTGGCATGAAGGAGTCAACAGACAATCTTTCCTGGGCCGACATCGGCAAGGCTCTCAAGCGTGGGAAAGCCGAGGTCAAAGCTCGTTGGAAGGCCATCAAGGACCAACAACCTCAAGAAGATGCCACCGATACCGACGCTGACACAAAGGGCGACCTTGCGGCTGGCCAGAGTCCGGATGACACGGCTGAAAAGGGCAAAGTTGCAACCCCGGCGAGAGAAGCAATGTCAGAAGCCCCGACAAAACAAACCATCAACCAACGTCGTCCCGAACATCAGAAGGACCGCCACCGCAATCACAAAGTGGCTCAGAAAAACAAGGGGACCAAGCAATGTACTTGCAAGACACAATTTAACGAGGACAATCCGTCTGGCAGCGAAACATCGTCTGAATTACTCTGCACAACAGACGAACGCAGACGCCAGAAGAGATATCTTTACACTCATGTCTACAAAACTCTCTACCCGGCGGAGGCTGATGCCGGGCAGAACGAGCACCTGACCAAGCGGGATCGTGCTGTGCTCGCAACCATTGCGTGCATGCACACAACGAACAAACTCTTGGAAATGAAGGCAAACTTCATGAATGCCACAGGTGCAGATGTGCCCATTGCAGTTCTTCGTGACTGGTATGAGGGAGAATGGGCTGCAAAGGAGGAACATCCCAACGCTGCACAACACGAGGATTCGGTTGAGAGAGTTGAGAAGTGGATTGACAGCGTCTCAATGGGAGCAGAGGATTAATGAGTGTGCAGTTATAGTCGGGGCAAAAAAAAGGCTTCCGCAACCTTTCGGGCGCCTGCACAACACCTCGCGTTGGTTACCAAGGCTCGGCGTCCGAGTCCATGAGCGCAGCATTCAGGAGAGTGAGTGACTCCATAGTCATTAGCTCTGGATGGAAAACAATCCTCACTGTGCGGGAAACAGTTGATAGGTATTTTGAGAAGTCAGGAATGATAAATATGCTTTCTTGACAAGATTTAGGCGCATTCAATTAATGAAATAAAATACGGTATAACCACGAGTGCAGGGCTGTGACAGCCATCCGCATATGTGCATCTCCTCCTGTCATATTAGACACGAAAGTACAAGAACAAGATGGGACTCCTTCTATATGCAGAATGCGATGCCTTCTTTTGTCCCAGATACAACAGAATATATTCAACGGGGGTCCTCAAGATCTGCACCTCCGATAATCAATGGTGAAAAAAAAAACGGCGACGCCTGTCCGAATGCAAGTATATATTGTCGCTGTTGTACAAAGTGGGCGCAGGTTAAAAAATACCAAAACGCATGCTTCAGAATAGAATATCTCACAGCAGAAAACCGCAACTGGTAGACCATGTTGCTAGCAAGATGTCATGATTGGTTCGGAAAAATTGATCCTGTACTGCATATCTTTCGCCGGGAACACCGTGCTTCAAAGGTCGAGGGTACTCGATATACATCCTAAGTTTTGTGATCTTTTTTGTAAAGGGGAATTTGGAAATTTTGTACAAGAACCGTCTGCAACTTCAGTATAGCTCTTAGATTGTCGAACCAAGTCTCCCATTATTGGTCAAGGCACCAAGTCGAAGTTGACCACATGATTTTCTCCGTTTGTGAGAGATGTGCTGACAGGGAGGGGGCGAGTGAACCCTGGTTGATGAGCTAGACAACAGGAGGGCTCATACATCATATCGGGTTTTCCATCCCTGGCGGAGGAGTTGGCTTGGCAAGAAGGGCAGGACTCGATACTTGGTCTTTACTTCGCAATGTATTATTCGACGAACCAAGACCTCGCTTCATCATTTTGCCCAACACAGTGACAAGCTCACAAGCGTCGTTGAACATGTCATCATCCATGCCCTCAGTTGCATCGTAAACTTCTGCAATTGTATCCTTGGCAAGTTTACGGCTCGCTTCAGCATCGTGGACACACTCGTAGAGAAAGGCAGCGTATTCGGTCTTTACTGATAGTCGTAATGAATGAGAGCCCCACAGCAGTTCGTCTGCAAGCTTCACAGCTTCCCGGAAATACTGATGAGCTGTAGGAAGGTAATCCAGTTGCGGTAGCAGAAACGAGGGTGGCAACAGGGCCACATGAGCCTCAAACCCAGGAGGCGGTCCAACAGGCCCGCCTTCCAAAGGATGGGTAGGCTGAACAGACGGCGGCCTGGACAGCAAATCCACAGACGTGTCTCCTTTCCTCTCTTCTGCTTCTGCTCGTGCTGCTGATGCCAATGCCGCTTCCCTCGCCTCTGGCGTCCAGCTCGCCATGTTGGAAACTGGGGGGTGGTTGTGAAAAAGAACAAAGATGTGATGGAAGCTGGCGCGTAGCTTATAAGCTAAGACCTTCAACTCAACATAGTTGCCAATCATTGGCATGACGTATTGCTGGAGCATATTCAACCCCTCGCGAGACAGCCATATTATATGCAATACGCGTTTGAGAAATAAGGGCGATGTAGCAGGGTCTGGCCTCCGAGATTTCTTGGAAGCCACAAGTTGATGGGCAAGGTTGAGCGACAACCCAAGGATTTTGAAGAGTATTGACGACAGGATAGGATTGTCTTGCTCGACGGCTTTGGCCAGCCTGCCCAAGAACTTTTGGTCAACCTCGGACGACGCCATCCAGTCGGGCTGGGTCCAGCATGTGCTTCGTCCCACGGCAGATTCTTGCTCTCGGCTTTGAACCTTGGCAATCCGAGCTGATGGAGTCAAAGCCGTGTCAAGTTGAGGAACATGTCCCTCTACGGGTTTCTAGGAAAGTTTATGGTCAGAAAGGGAAAGCAATTACCGGGACCTCAATCTAGAAATATGTGGGTGGCTCATGGAGTCTTGGGCGAGCCAGCAGCCTCGCATGCCAGGAGAGACAGGTTCAGAAGGAGGCTGACATGGTCCAACGCAGGATTTGGGAACAAGAAGACGAGAAACAACAGGGTTATTCCAATGTGGGAGGGAGCCTGACAGCTGGCGTGACTTGATTGGATCACAAGAAATGAATGTAGAGGGCGGCCACGAGTGCAGGTAGGGCTGGAGACAAATGGAACTTGAGTGAATATTGGCAGTGTAAGTCCCAAGCGCCAGGAGAGAGGACTAGTCAAGCCAGTGCAGAGGACCGTCTGCCATCTTGACTGTCAAGCGTCTCTGGTGTGATGGGGATGACGGTCCTGGCAACAAGATCAAATGTCTCTTGTATCCGGTTTTACGTACGGAGTAGACGTCAACTGCCAGTGGTTCCGAGTCTGGCGACATTGAGCAGCCTGGCCGGGAAAACACTAGGCCATTGAAAAGACAACGGGGGAGGGCAATGCGATGCAATTCCTAGGTCCGACGTGGTCTGCTAGCGAGCTAGCTCTTCCCGCTAGGATATCCCGAGTATCGAAGCCCTGAACATAATCCCGTCATCGTGGAGGCGGAAGACGAGTGGAGTTGGAGCAGTGATAGGTAGAATTTAATGCTTCGTTGTCGTCCCCTGTCACAGCCCTGGCCAGGTCATGATTAACTTTGCCCGGTATTACCAGGGTGATGGGGGCGGTGAGGACCAAAAAGTTGCTAGCAACACTCGTGGGAGCTGTCCTCGGGTACGGAGTCTTTGCCCCTGTATGTATTGCGGTGCTCCGTAAGATGCATTCATCAAGGGAACCTCCAATTGGGATGTTCAGTTTTGCGCCGTTCAACATGAACAAGGCAGTGTGCATCCATCGGTGGGCTTCAAAGACACTTGTCAACGACGGACACACCATGACCAGAGTTCCTCGACAAGGGATGGCCACGTAGTGAGCAAGTGACAGATGATGGGTATTCACCGTCAGTCAGGGGACAGGATAGGAAATGCATCAAAATTGAGTGTTGAGGGTGAGTCCAGAGTCTACCATAATAAGCAGATCTCTCTGATCGGGTAAAACAGCCACGATCCAGAATAAGCGAGCAAAAACAAGGCGGAATGCGGCGCAACCAACGTGTGTATGCGACTTGTACAATCAGGTATCGTCTATTGTGGATTGACGTAAAGACCGACTAGACTTTGCGTGGTGCTTCGCCATGCATCAATTGCTGTCTGTTGCATGAGCGTGAGCGTGAGCGTGAGCGTGAGCAGCAGCAGCAGCAGCAGCAGCAGCATGTTCCGTCGACGCATCCTCCCGTGCATGTGGGTTGTTGGCAAGCATCTCGCGGCCATCCAAATCGGCCCGCGGCATTGTCTTTAGCTACCAAACCTGTGCATTGGAATCCGCGGCTTTTTTACGGGGACGGAGACGGTGAACAGCCATTGGCAAAGATGACGATGGCGGTGGCCCTTTTTCTTTGGGGGGGGTTTTTTTGGGGGGGGGGGGGGGGGGGTGTGGGAATGAGGAGGCATGGAGGAGGGACACGAGAGACTAGCCAACTTACAGCAGTTGCAACTTGTGCCATTGGAGCTTGCTTGCTTGCTTTCTTTCCCTCAGACTCCCGTCACCGACTTCCAGAAGCTGGGCCCGGATCAGCGGCGGCGATACAGACAGATGGATGAGACGCAATTTCGGGTTGCGCAGCAGCAGCTTGAATCCAGCGTTTCAGTTTGTCACCGACGGACAATGACGAGAGGGCAGGAAGTCGTCGAGAGCTTGAAAACGAACGCCGCGTCTCCCAAGCTGCAGTGTTGGTTAGGCTTGGATCAACGCAATTGATTGATTGCTTTCGTGACGTTGGCCAGCTCATTCGGAGCAGTTCAATGCTGACCTGGACGAGTTCGGGTTTAGGCATGCGAATGAATAATGAATTGATGCGTCCTACTCCATACAGAGAGCTCCGTGCCGGCGACTCAATTGACCTCGAGCACGGTCAGCGGCCAAGACCGACCACAACAGGTGGCGCGTAGTCACTCGACGGAAGGCGGAGGGAAGCCGACTGGCGAGTTCAAGTTGGACCAAAAGTTTGACTCGTGAGTCGTGAGAGTTGACCATGTGCCGCGGATCCGCAAGCTACTTGCGATACGGAGTAGCACTTGAGGCGCTTGAGCGCCGCCCGACGGTAAAGGGGCAAATGGGCAAGGCGCTCACCGGGCAGGCGACTTAGAGGTGCCTGGCCTGCCGAGATCAGATCAGACAAAGTGCGAGCCGAGTACTCCGTAATATTATATAGTATATCATCAATGTCGAGTTGCCAAGAAGCATGAGCCGTTGCGTTCTGCCAGGCGACCAAGCGCAACCAGGGGTTAGATGAGATGGGAGAGACAATTAAAACCCTTGAGCCAACATGTAGTACATACATATTGGTTGGGGCAGCGTGACACGCCTCTTACAATACTAACTACTACTCTCAATACCCAGGTGCCGGCAAAAAAGTATTGACCTGTTGCATGGTCAATTTCCGTGGAAACATGGATGGAGGCATCTACTTAGGACGTGTACTTCCTCCTACGGAGCACTTTGTGCACTAATTTTTCCCAACATCGTCTTCCTTCTTTTTGTTATACATTAGTCAATGCGCTTAACATCCTTGCCGCGACTTTACCGTTCTTTTTTTTTTTTTTTTTTTTTTTTGAGTCGACGCAACACCAAGACAACGCCTCGATGCCACGCCGATTGGCTCGTCTGGCCGTCGGTCAGTTAATACTTCGAGCATATTGTTAGTATCCTCTTGTTATCCTCTTGTTCCTCCAGGGCCTGGACCAGGTCCGCCCTGTTCAGGAAATTTCTAATCCATTCAAACCCTGGCGCCGCGGCCACTAGACTCAAGTCCCCCAGTCGCTTCACTCCTGAGTTTCCAAACTCCGCCCCTCTCCAGACCAGGGATGACGTCTGCCCGGAATTGACAAATCGGAAGTCGTTTCAATGGTTCACCTGCCCGTCGCCGAACCTCGATAATACGTACCAGTTGACGCTATGCTCGAGGAATTCCACCACCGTTTCCCAGCCTCTAAAAGCATAAAGAGACGTCCTGTCTTTTGTAGTGTTGTGCGACTGCGTCGCACCAAGTACGGAGTACCTAGGTATGGAATACGGAGTCGGGCGCGAATAGTGGACAGGCTTTTCAGCCTGGCCTTTGTGCATACTTTGGTGGCCGCATGAACTGCGGCCACAGGCCTCGCAGCCTTCACTCGTACCGGCCGTCCGACATCTGGGCGAACCCAGCCTCCCCATTTTTTCAACCTCCTGATCTTGGACGTGACCCGTTGGTGGTATAGAATGTCCTCGGGATACAGAACACTCCCTACCCGCGGCATTTGCGCGTCGAATCCAGGGCGGGAAAAAGACACCGAGTTCGCTGCGGCCGTGACGCCATTTCGACATCACACCACTGGTACCACACCCGAGTAGACGTAATATAATGTTATCTATCACCCGTCACTTCCCCTCGTTTGTAATTCCTCATTCTTCCTGTAAATGTTGGCGGTACAGGGTTCGGGGAGTTGGGCAGACCTAAGTATTGAATAAATATATACTACCGACGGACGTGACCCCTCTCCTTTTCGGCCATGCTGCGTTGCCGGAGTAGACAGCAGTAATATGATACAAGGCGATGGTGGCCAAAACAAGAAAAAACCTGCTAGTCCAACGACTCTCCGCCAGTGCACAACGTTCAGCTCGATGCTCTTATCCTTGCTGCTTGTCCTAGTTTGCGACGCCGACTTGATGTATTGATCAAAGCGTCGTAACTGGTATTCTCGGGATCAACATCATAATGCTCAAGAGGACCAGAAGTCACGAGCTTGATAACATTGCCAAATGTGAAAGCAACAGATCGAAGACCTACAGAAACTTTTGGTCCTAAATCTGACACCACCAAATGACTCGACTCATCCCCTAGTTCGAAGAGAGGTCGGCATTCTTCCAGATCTGGTTTATCGCAAGGTGAAGTTGCCCATACTTCCCAGTTTGCGAATGAATACTGATTGCTTTGCCCGGTTGCGCGCCTTTGTCGCAACGTTGAGTTCATGTTTCTGGTCGTCTTGCACGTTTGAATCGCTCGTCGTATGCCGACTACACTACCATCCGAGAGCAAATGCCACGTTCCCGGGTTCTTAACCCGCTTTTTCACTTCCTTTGCCGACTCGAAACTGCACTCATCACCATTCATCTTGTTATCGGGACTCCGAAGATCAATTACCTCGCAGTCATCTGCGGGGACATAGGCCTGCAACACGCAGTCGCCCGTCTCGCCTTTAACATAGCACAATGTCAGGGATGCTAATCCCAACATACCCGGCTTGGAAGCATGACCAGAATAGGTGCATTGGAGGGATTTAGAGACCATTCCCTCGGTGCCGAGCGTTCGAAGCACCTGTCTCTCTTCAGCATCTACAAGGTAGACGCAATCGCTTGATGCCAGTGCGAACACGCCGAGAGGAGACAACGGCACGATTTGGGAGATTGCACCAGCATCTGAGAATTTCAGATCCAGAAGTTGGGTGATCCATGATGACTCCTGTCGGCTGCCAATGTAGACATGGCCCTGTTTGGAAACCATGACGATGAATGTTACCACTCCAGAATCGCCTGTTTACCAATAATAATTAGTCGAAATGTCTAAGATGCCACGAAGAGTCGGAAATCAAAGCTCAACTCACACTTCTTAGTAAGGGAACGAGCAAGTGCCAGGGGTTCAGGGCAGATAGAAATTCCGCTTCTAGCAACCTGCGCCCCAGCGGTCACTTGGACCATTGTGCCGTTTTGGTGCACTAGTAGGATGGTTGGCTTGTCGGTATCAGAAGTAGGATCGAAGAGCATTGCGGCTGGCCGATGCGAACAGCTTTCCAAAGGCATAGACCCGCCCCATCTCTGTTCCACCAGATTCCAGAATGATACTCTGGATGTCGATAATAACGCCAGCCAAGTTGAGTTACTGTCAATAGACATGCCCAATATGGGGAACGGGCACAGCTCGGCATCATTTCCATCTGCAATGACGTAACTATTTCCCCATCCTCGAATGTTCCAAACTCGGACGACTCTATCAAGGCCTACGGATACGATATGCCCTGCTTTGGACTTGCTCAGTAAAGCGACGTCAAGAACATGGCCACCTCCCAGAGACTTTATCGAGACTGAAGGGGCATCATCCTGCCCCCCGCCGTTCGCCAGCTCAGCATCTTCACCCCATAAAAGATAGTTCATGAGCAATCGAAGAGCTGCAAGGATGACAATAACTATGACAACAAAACGCGATAGCTGGTGGCGAATAAAATCGTATGCAGCGGGTAACAGTGTAGGTTCTTTACTGTGAGGTGTTCGATCTGAGTCTCGCCGAACAAAAACAAGAGGCTCAAAAACTCTAGCCACGTAGCTGTAGGCTCCAGGTTTAATCAACCGAATAATTTCCTCGGCTGTCTCATGGTCTTGATTCCTCAACCATGAGGTATGGCTTCTAGCTTGATGTAGGCCTTTCAGTACTGACAAATCTGCCGCTCGAAGAAGGTCACTATCGGTACCTCTATAAAGTCGCAAAAGTTTGCGGAACATGTTATCATCGCCAAAGAAATGCCACTGAGCAATAAGAACGAATCCGATCATGATTACGGTCCCTGCGATCCGAGTCGACCAAGCAATTTTTCCTTGAAAGAATCCATCGGCCAAAGGGCCACGGCTGTTGCCATGGTATTTGCGTCGACATTGTCGCAAAGCAGCCTTTGCAAGCGCATCACCTAGCTCCATACGTCTTACGTCAACACTGAGGACAGACAAGAAGAAGGTAGAAAGATAAAAGTAATCAAAAACAATTGCGACGGCGGCAAAGATACAAAACGCCGATACCCCTGGTGAAACCACACGCGATAGACCAACGAGAATCAAGACATTCTGCAGCGAACTGGCCAGAGCAGTATGAGCAGTTTGGCCAAATGCGTGGCCAATTCTGTTGCTGGTACTATCCTCCGATGGAGTGAGGATGACCGCATTAATGAGTCGAAAGATGTTCTCCAAACTCATAGACAGCACAACGAGAGGATATGCTGCTTGCGGGATGCGGGACAAGTCGAAATTGAATATAGCGCAAACCGTGAAGCTCGACATGATAGAGAAGGCTACTTGAGTAATAATCGTTACAATGAGTCCAATTTTCGATTTGACTGCTCGCAGCTTTGAGAGGCTCATGAGGAAGTATAGCACAGCGAAACCGTACGCAAACGCCAGGCTAAGGATATCTTGTGGCGACATGGGTCGAAATTGGAATTCGTACAACTGACTCGTCATGTATCTTCCATCAGATGGATAGACGTCAAACTTGTCAGAAACTTTCTCAGGCAAGGATAAAGCCTTCCTTTCCCATTCTTGGCCAACGGGGGAGTCTCCCAAGCAAAGAAGCGTAATAACAATAGCATCAGCAGCGACTAGTCGACGATCTTCAAAGCGCTTGCCGCTGAAAACAACCGAGTGACGTAGCGTAGTATTGGAGAAGTTGGACTGGTTTTTCCTATCGTTGATGGTGGAAAGGATGTCATCGTCTGCCAGCAACCTGTCTCGGGAGTTATGCCAGTACAGCAATGGCGAGTGAAAGAACCACGATTGGTTGGTGAGGCCGTTCGAAATGTGCAAGGCGTCACGCTGAGCCAGGGAGAGTCGGTCGTCCTCTTGGTTCTTGGCCAGATTGTATGGCGCATCTCGGGGACTAAAATTTTCGGTCTCACCTAGCAGTTCGTTCTGAAGTTCCAACGCTGATGCGAGCAAGTCAGCATTGAGAGCTTCCATGTAGCTAGAATGAACCCAGATAGACCTCATGATTATGTCTGGTTCTACCGCAGCGTCATATGTGAGCGGTTGGGCCACAGTCCAAGCATGATGTGGCAGATATGAGGCGCCATTAACAAAATCGCTAGTAAATATGTATGGGATGGGGTAGATGAGGATCGTGGCTACAGTTGCCGAGATGAAGACAGCAGTGACGACATGGCCGGCGACGTATCGGCCATATCGAGCGAAGCCACTGCGGAGAGAATGTGATGGTGCGAGATCCGGAGGTTCGGTGGTCCTAGAAGCCTTGTTAACGAATTGATCAAAGCGTGGATACATTGATGGGCAGCAACCATGGACATGGTTGGTGGTTGGTTGGAACATACCCTCGTATTGGATAGAGAAAGTACCAGATCATGGCGCAATGTGGAACATGCGATAGGTTCTGTGATTGCGTTTGATGCGCCAAGACCGGTATTAGTAAGTTACATATGGCTGAAAATAACGGACTTGATGGATATTCAAAGATTCCAAAGGTAATGCATTAACTGAAGGTGCCTGATTTGTGTATGGATTAGTATTGTGGGTTTGATACGGGTGTGCGAAGATTGGAGCTTCTCGCTGTGTTGGGCAACGCGGGCAGCAGCAGCTTACTTAAGTATGCGTGTTGACTTAGATCTGAGGCTGGCATGCGGCATGCGGCATGCGACAGCCGGTCTGGTGGCATTAAAATGCCGTAGCTTTTTCTGATGTAGATGGATTGTGAAAACCCAAGACTATCTATACAGCCACGTATAGCGCTGTCATAAGTCTCGGGTAATAGGAGGACGAGGCCCTTGCGCCGTATTCTGACGTGGTCGTGGAGTATTTTTAAAACACCTGTCAGTCAGCCCTGGTTCGTCTGAAACTGACAAGGGCAATGCACTTGGGCTTGAGCTGGAGGCATGCAGGTACACCGTACAGCACAGCGCTGACAAAACGAAGGTTGAAGGATGTCAGCAGGGGAGGGGTCAACGTGGGGGGCTCAAAGGCCACCGTAGTGCTTGCCTGATGGTTGACCTTGGTACGTGACACAGGGCTCACTGGAGGCAGAAGAAGAAGTCAAGGTAGGGTTTCGCTCGGATCGTCGATATTTGTCTAAAGGTCAGATGTTAGCTACACACCCCCAAGGGAAGGCTCCCAGTTGCAGCGACCACATGTGCAGGTTTCAACCAACAGTCAACTGGTATCCAAACCAGACTGGAAGCGTCCACTCAAGCGCTGCCTCCAGCTCCAATGCAACCTGAAGAGTTGGGTGCCAGCTGCGGGACCTGGAACTACGGAGTGTTCAAGTCACGTACTTGCACCAGGGCACGAAGAGTATACTGCCAAGCAGGTCTGTTTGAACACCAGGGTACCGGGTAGCCCAGCCCCCAGCCCCCCCCCCCCCACATGGGCGGGGTTTTAACCGTGGGCCCACG